TGTATATTGAATAAAGTGTATGTAACAAAATAATTTGATTTGCGTAAACTGATATATGAAGGAAAAATGAAGTCAATGGGTTGGAAAATTGTTAGTGGCGCAGATGACTTTGAAATTGAGGTCGAGACTCGAAAGCAACCAAAGGGTGGATATATGTACTTCTAGTAAGTATCAATGTCTTTTTGTTATTATTGTTGAAATGGTAATTGGATTAAAGTATCGATAAACTTTAAATTGATTACAAATTTTAAATGTTGACAGTATGGCTGAATGCAAAAGGATAAAGGAAGATGGCACACAGAGCGATTCGGTATGTAAAATGAAATTGACATTGAGTAGTATTTAGTGTTAATGTATTGATTAAGAAACGTTTATGTTTAATATTAGGTGATAAACTTTAAATTAATTACAAATTTTAAATGTTGACAATGTAACAAGTATCGACCCAAACGAGGTGCACGCATAATATATTAGGTCAACATAAAGTATCGACACTTATTAAAAGTATCGATTCCGAAAATATCGAAACCAATAATTATAATGTATTAAGTAAATTTACAATGTAACCGATATAAATATATCGATTTTATGCTAAAATAGGTCAGCATATAGTATCGACACTTGTTAAAGTTGTGTCGATACTTACGGCCTAGAATGAATGCCAAAAAAGGTGTACCCTTAAAGTGTCGATACATTTATTAAAAAAGTATCGATCCCTAAAACATCGAAACCCATAATTAAAATGTTCAATGAAACCGGTATAATTATACCGGTTTTATGAGAGAATAAGTCTAAATCATGTATAGACACTTTTTTAGTTTGTGTCGATATTTTTGTCCAGAATGAAATATTAAAACCAACGAGGTGCAAACATAAAGTGTCGATACTTACGTTCTAGAATGAATGCCAAAAAATGTATACCCTTAAAAAGTGTCGATACATTTATTAAAAAAATATCGATCTCTAAAACATCGAAACCCATAAGTATAATGTAATAGGTAAATGGTCAATGAAACCGGTATAATTATACCGGTTTTATGAGAGAATAGGTCTAAATCATGTATCGACACTTTTTTAGTTTGTGTCGATATTTTTGTCCAGAATGAAATATTAATGCCCAACGAGGTGCAAGCATAAAGTGTCGATACTTTTATAAAAAGTTTCAACACTTTATGAAATATCGAAACCGATAATTATAATGTAATAGGTAAATTTACAATGTTACCGGTATAAATATACCGATTTACTTATAAAATATGTCAATATAAGCGCTACCTATTACATTATATAAACGTTACATAATATGTTATTGTACTTAATAATATTTCCCGTTAAATACCTATTTTATTATATAAGCGATATTTATTACATTATGTAAGCGTTACCTAATATGTTATTGTACTTGATAATATTTTCTGTTAAATACATATTTTATTATATAAGCGCTATCTATTACATTATATAAGCGTTACCTAATATGTTATTGTACTTGATAATATTTCCGGTTAAATAATATAACATAATCGATCTAAATTTTAACCGTTCACTTATTTAACTAATCACGCCGTATATTAACCGTTTTTTAGACGCCGCACCGCATATCTACCCGATCGGGCCGGACGAACCACCTAGGAAAAAAGACTTTCAAAATACGTGATGACAAAAGGTAGCAAAAGCCGCGAAAACCCCCAAATCAGAAGAATCAGTTGAAGCTGAAAGCATCGGCCATTTTACTTTATTCAGACTTCAGTTGACGCCATTTGTGAGAGCTTGAGAGTGACTCTTCCAGTTTCTTATTAGGAGTCAACGAAGAAAACAAGTCCTTCAATTTTAAATTATCATTAAACGTAAGCACTCTTTCTTTTCCTTTCTGTTATACCCAGTTTCATATCTTTCTTCTTCATTTCAGATTTCCTTTTCTGGGTATTGTATTATCAGCTCTTAGAATTATTATTATCCAGAAAAAGTAAGAAAGCAGTATGCTTTTAGGGGTGAAGCATCAGTTTAAGTAGTTGCGCTGGGTTATCTTCTCCAAATCATGGTGTAATCCTTTTGAAACCAATATCTAACGTAAACTGTTGTTCAATTGCTTGTTAGGTTAGGTTAGGTTAGGTTGCAATGGATTGGGCATTTGTGCAAAAATCTTGGGAGAAATGGGCTTCCACCAATATTGGCTCTTCTGGTAAGTGGTAACCTATCTCACCTTTTTACCATTTAATATGATCCTGGGGATTACATTGCATTGTAATTTGTGATCTGTGATCTGTAACTACTAATCTTGCTTGTTCCGAAATTGCAGGTCAGCCATTGAAGGCTGCTTTGTTGATTAACTATGACCTATTCAGACCTTCACGGTTATTGTCTACTATGTAAGATACATTTCTACTCTTTAATCTGAATTTCTAGATTGATCTTTGGCTGCTCATGTTTTTTCTAATGATTTAATTTAATTTTAGGATTCATTGGTTATGTCTTCACATTCTCCATGCATAAGTCATAACTCAGTGATTGTGTTAATTCCTTTTCTTTCCATAATCTTCGTATTCAAAACTTGATGCTGGTTGCCATTGTATTGTTGCTTTACGTTTTGTTAATAGCTTGTCATATTAATCATTTAGACACCAAATAAAGATATTTTTGTCTATCCTTGTGTCAAAAGTTGTTTGGCATTACTTCTTGGTTATTATCAAGCTAAAATGCATTCTGAAGTTATCTCATTGTTTATATGTGGCTGGTAGATCTGTTCAGATTCTTGGTTTGTATGGAAGTAACATATGGTTTAATATGTCGGAAGTAACATGCTTAATGCTACTGTGTTCATCATTGCCCAAGATATTTTTTTTTGTTTGGAAAACTGGAAATGATGCTTTGCTTGACAGTGCAGAACAGGAAGGAATGAAAATCAGCCCAATTGGATTGAGTCAATTGATCAGTTTCATCAAGCGCAACCAACTGCAAAAAGAGACTTTTGTGATCGGGAATAACCAATGTAAATTTTGCTTTAGCCAACCTTTCTTTAATTTATATACTTTTTTGAATTTCGCATAAATTTTGATATGAACTTAATCTCTCCTTTCTAAAGTTGTTGCTTTACTCACCCTTTTAAAGAACTACTACCTTTTGCATGTGCAGGTAATTTTTTTGTTCTAGGAATATAAATTAATGTAATTTAGATTCATGGAGCTTCTTCTCCGGATTGCTAATACATCAAAATAAATAATTATAGTTCCGTAATGAGTAATTATATTTCTGTCTTGCTTTGGTAGGAGAGTTGCAAGCCATATATTTCAAAGATTTTCGAAGGAAAGGGTGTCTAGATTTTTCCCTTTTTCCTTTGGCATGTATATTTCTGTTATTTGTTGATTTGTAAAGGTTATATGCAGTTCTTGCTTCTATTATAGATCCGTGTTTCATGAATAGCCAGGCTTTGAATAGGTTAATTTTTTTTTATAAAAGTTGGAGGTCTCATTAAAAACTCCCTTCGTATTCATCCACGTACTAACAAGTATGTTAACGAACATTGGAATGAAGAAAAGAGTACCTCATATTTCATTAAATAAAACACCCAATACATATGAAAACACGGAATACCCTCAAACGGGGATATACACCATTACAAAAAAACCATAACCACCTAATTTGAATAGGTTAATTGATTTCTTTTAGGTTTGCTAACATCTCAAATTTGGTTTTCGTTCCAATATAAGCCGAGTCTAGTCCCTGGATACTATACTCTCAAAAAAAAATACATGGATTACTCATTTAAGATTTAGCATATAAAGGAAGCAAAACAAAATAACCTGTTAACAATAATTAAATTTTGAATTAGCATGCTGATCCAGCGATTTGGCTTGTGATATTGGAAATGTCTATCGGCAAATTAGTTTCTATTTTTAGACATGTTACCAATAAATTTCGTGTCTGGTTTTATTTAAATAATAAGTCTGGTTTCAATAATCATATGGATATTAAAGTTTTGAAGCTGATTAATGGATGACAGACATGGTTACATCAATCCATGAAAATTGGTTCTGTGCGAGGTGCCTGAATGCATCAAAATCCTCTGGTGAAGGTGCCATTGTCATGCAGACATCAGGGTTTCTCTTGGTTGCGCTGTAAGTTTATTCATCTTCACATGTTACGAACAACATTAACAAAATTGTGTTTTGCTTTGCATGATGTGAGAGCACTTGAGTACAATATACACACATATGCATAGATATAGTTTCTTAACATGACTGAACTGAAATTTCACTTGTTATGCCATCCGTTTTTGTCAGGTACGATGGGTCAATTGGCTTAGCATCTCGTGCCATGGTATCTGTGGATCAACTTGTTTGGTCATTTGAATCGAAGGAACCTTTAACCTTGGCCTCCATATCAAAAGAGTAATTCTAAGTTACCTTGCTAAAAGGATGGGCTACTTCTATGCTGTCTCTGGCCTTTTTATTATTATTATAATGGCATTGTTTTCTTTTGGTAATGAGAAATGACATGGAGCAATTGTCATGAATGTAACAGAAATTGAGTAAATCATTGCAGGCAAGTTGTTGAGATCATTGTTTCAGACTCCAGTCTGCCTATCTGCAACATCTGATCATATATGACGGAGAATCATAGGTGCATGAAATTTGAAGGATGGAATGGGATGCAATGTGGCGGTGAATAATGAAATTTCTAGTTTGCGGGAAGTTACCTTTGCTTTGTATGTCCAAAATATTAACCATTTGTGTTACCAAGTGGTTTTTTCACCCGGGCACATTGTTATACCTGATTTTGTGTTTTTAATTGGTATTGGGAAGCATCCAGTCAGCTGCTAATTTGATCCATGATTTGCCATTTAAACCTTTAATTAACTATAAACAATATCAGAATCAAATGAAAGTCCAAATGTCAGTTCTTGGTAGTTGTAAGTAAATGATTCTTTCTGCATTTGTACCTCAGTTTTAATCTATTGAAACCGTGGTATTAACCTTACAAAAAACGTAAATGATTATCTCAAGGCTATAATTAACTAATTAATTAATTAATAAAACTTAATAATCATTTACAAAAGCAGTGTTATAATAATACTTTTATAAATCCTTCTGACGTATCAAGGAGACATTCCTACACTTCTACATGTCTCTTTACCCATACACCAGACTAGACGACTCCTACTTGTACTCGGTGTTGCATGTACACTTGCATCACTGTTCGACTCCCTATCAGTATCAGATTCGCAGTAGTTCCCTTCTACTTTATTCGTTGCATCAGTAATGGAGTGCCTTGGATTCCCCACTTTTATTCCTGGAAAGAACCATGTTGCAACACTCGAATCAGGGTTACACAAACTATCTTCTTGCAGAATTTCTCCCATCCTGCTCATTATGCTGAATGCCAAATTTTTCAAGACACGAGAATACGCTTCCAGAATCAAATGTCCAACATCCTATGCACAGACGATTTTAACATGGATTCAGTAGTGAAAGATAAATGCATGACAACAGATGCTATCACATGTATGTATAATACATTTTACTTTAAACACACGAAACTTACCTTGCCATATTGAATTTTTGTGGCATCAAGAAAAGTTTGAGGCAGGTTTGGATATGCAGTCTTTATGTGCTGTAAAAGTGATTCGGCTCGGTCCACTAGTTGCTCCATCTTATCTATCTCAGACAATGGATCCTTAATGAAAGACCATGACTTTCGCACTGGGGATTTGCCACTAGCTTGTTCTGTAAGTCTCCCTTTCCATGCAAATACAGCAGCTTCTAACCTATTAATGGCCTCGAGAGCATTATTTTCAGACTTTAAATTGAGCGAAACGAACATTTCCTCAACTGAGCTGGATTCGAGAGTCAAAACCTTGTACAGTTCATCACCGAGGCTAGCCTTCCCAGACTGTAAACATGTGGAATGAGATTGAGTTGCCATAAATGCAATACAAACATCTTGTAAAACTTTAATCTGGAATTTTGCTCTCTTCATTCAAAATTATCAGACATTTGATAAGATATTAAAGTAGACCAACGTCAGCTGGTTCCAACTAAAACCTCAAGATTCCATTTTTTATATTTCCTTTTAAAGCATGGTTTTCAAAATTGACCTTCATCATGTAATCAGGGCTTCAAGTTACGATGTATCATCATAAAAAAAACAATTAAAGGATCCAACATTTAAAGTTAAGAATACCCTTAAGGCAGTGAGTATGCTCACCTTGGGAAGGGCATCCCTAATCATGGATGGAATAGGCATTTCAAGCAACACATTTTCATTAATTGATCTCGCAGCCTTGAATACTTGATACACCACCTTGCCTTTGCATTGCAACTTCTTCTTTTCGGTATCAGAGAGCCCAGTTTTTGGTACTTGTGGCAATGGAAGCCACCACCTCTTGCACTCCCCTGCCCTCTTGCTTCTTCCTTTGGCTTTGCTTTCAACTTCTGCATAACAAAACTCGGTATTCACCATTGACTCCAAGGTTTCCTGACGATATTCAAAATTTGATCGGGTGAATGAGGGTGACATGTTCATAAAAGAATGTACAAACTATTAGGAAGAGTAAACAGATCGCCTACAATAAGCATAGAGTCCAACTTCTGAAGTGCTGGGAGATTCATGTGAATGTCTGCACGGGCTTTTGGTGTCATTATCTGCTCAAAAGAGAATTTATATAAATCGCACCACATTGCAGAATGCACATTTTCATTTTTAATCAGAACCCAACAACCACAACCACAAGAGTACCTCCATAGTCCCGCCATTTGCACCATTTTGCTTAGCAGGCACTAACTCCACCATATAGTTGGTAGGAGAGAGTAACCAGTCCATTTCTCTTCGCCATTTATTTTTCCTTTCTTCAGCTAGTGGCTCCAGTTTCCACAACTCCCCCAAAAACTGAAGCTGCACATTCGGATTTGCAGACCTTATAAGTTGAAGACTAATGAAAGAAGACAATCCTATGATAAAAGGAAAACACAAACGAACTTTGTAAAATGTACATGCTTTTTTTATGGTTTTTAAGTTGCAGCTCCTCCTCATGATGCATGTTTCCCGTTGACGGGAGACAAAATAAATACAGTACAACAAGAAGTGCCATGACTTTTCTTGGTTAACTTCAAACATGTTATACCAAGTTCCAATCCAGAATAAAAGTTTCTAAATATATACACAAACACGCAATGATCTAGAAACAAACTTACCAGCAAGATTTATTATGGCATTTGATAAAGCTAAAGCCGTGGAGACTCCCTTCCGTCCACCTGTAATATCTTCCCCCAATAGAAGCTTTGCAAAATTTTCTTTCATTATCTCAACATCTGAAAATTGTATGGGATAAGCAGGTTTCTCTTTGACATAAAAATGCTTGGGGCTTTCCGAGAGATCCAATTCATCCAAACCCTGTTCATCTCTCTTCATCCACTTGGAAGAAAATGATCCAAATGCATCTTTGCTAGAAGAACAGCTTGAGAAATCATCATCCATGGAATCAGATGCACATCCATCTCCTTGGCTTGTTCTACTTTCATTCTCGTAAGACTGATTGTTGAGAATGCAGCTCTTGAGACCATTATACGTCATTATCCCTGAAAATTCTGAATTTAATATCCATTTACTGAAATCAAGTGGGAACATACGACAGCAAATAGAAGCATAATCAACTAGAAACCTTGGCATGTGGTCATCAGCTTCAGGCAGCTCAAAAGCAAACATAGATGAGCTCAAGTTTCTGGTGTATGTAATTACATTGTAACCATTTTATGGAATGAAAACTGTTGCACTGCTTGCAAAAGGACTCAGATTATTTTCTTTGTTTCAAGGGATGAGAAAGTGAAAACTGAGAAAACATATAAAAAAAATCATGGGAGAAAATAACTTATCAGTCCATTTAAGTCATACAATTATATTTAATTGGAGGAGGGGGAGTAGGCAATTTTCTGTAGACATTTTTTTTATATGATTATGGAACATTCAATCAGCACAATTGCAGAGACTCCAGCAATCACCAGTAACAATTCAAAGGACACTTTCTACACTAATGATCCTTGCAAGAACTAGTCAAGGAAGTTTATTTCACACACTTGTAATTTCTGCATTATCATTTGCCAAATAGTGGATCAGGTAACAGATTGGTTAAATGCCATTTCTGTTCATATTTAACGAGACAAGATCTGAAAACCAGATCTATCCGGGCACATATGAACCTTTTCCGTTTGGAATAAATGAGTCTGTCAAATTTGTCTTCATTATAAAAATGTCAGATGTTAGCACATGCACATGGCAGTGCAAGGGCCCAATTTTAGCATATGTAAGATTATTATATAAGATGACTCATTTATTCAATAAACATAGCATAAATAATTATTAGTTTTGCATTGTGCATAACTTCAACTACCCATCTATTCTCTGATGACTCATGCATGGTAAATAAAGGCACTGATCGTACATGTCATGGATGCTCCCAAAAGAAAAACACGACATGGAAATCCACATGGCATGCTTTTGAAAATCCCATTTTTTGTTCAGCAATTTGAGGTTTTTTTAACAATGTGTGTTTCTCAAATCAGTCATGTGAGAATAAACAGCAATAATAATAGCATCCTTGCCAATTGGCACTACAAATAAATGATAAAGTTTACCATTCAAAAATAAAAGACGAGAGATTACATCAAGGCAGAAGCTTCCCAAGTTTTTTGAGACCTAGCACTACATCCAAAAAGAGAAATTTCCAAGCAACAAGTGCTCAACAGCAAAGCACGCTCCAAAAAGGACATGCACTACTTATAACTTGAAGTCAAGATGGCCCAAAGTTAAAAAGGAGGAGGGGAGGGGATAAAGTTTAAACAGGATAATTTTATTTATGTTCCTTTAACGTCCTTTCCTTTTTCTAGTGACAGGATGGATCTCATTTTTACTTACTGTTGTCTATTGCATTGCAGAAGGAATAAACGTAAGATTTTATGTTAGGGGAGTGAGCTTCTAAAATTTTAAAAGGAGACAAACTTATAAAATTATAGGGGATAAAAACATATTATCAATAAAAAATATAAAGAAAATATCTAAAATACATGATAATTTGAAATCTTGGGCAACTGCCCCACCCGCTCCCCCTCGGTCCGTCCATGCATTTGAGGGTATACTTCTTTATGCAATTGCTAGTGGTGCTTAATCAAGTCAAGTGGATACAAGAAATGGGTGAAATATAATGGAAGGCTAACCTAAAGCTAAAGGGTAGGGTAATCAAGGCATCAATAATTACTAGCATTTCAAACTTTTTCAGGAGAAAGAAAAGTCGTCTTTCACATGAGTTTTTTTAATTTATGTCCCTACTTAATAACTTTCACACTGTCTACATTGACTATGACTGTGCACTAAGAGTTTTAAATGATAACACAACTGCTTATATATTGAATGAAGGGAAGTGAAGGGGCCACCACTAAATACCAGCAAAAAAAGGTTAACTTAATTAGTAGTTAATAATGAAATGATTATCACTTCATTTTTGTTTGTAACTTGTGGATTGCAGCAGCACCCTTGAAACTTCCAAGTTCAAACAAAATGAAAACTAAAACCAAAAAGCTTCCAATTATGAGATAACCCCACCCCAATGTGGTTTGCTTTGCTTGCACATAGAATATACCATGACTACAAGGCATCTCCTTGGCCATGCCGAAGAGATCGATCAAAGACCGGATTTGACGAGAACCACTACGGTTAGAAGATTAATTAGGGTTTCTCATCTGTCTTAATTAAGAAAAGGTTCACACTAAATCTCCAAGAATCCTCAAGGAAGTTCATTGAATATTTTAGTCATGGATGCATGCTTCTTGGTGCTAAAAAATTGATCTTGAATATTCACTTATGAAGGGTAGTAAAAGGGAAGAAATAAGGTATTATGGGTGTGTCGGTTGTAGAGAAAGAGAGGAACATGACATTCACACCTCGCCTTCAGGTACCATAAATGTTCGGGTAAGAATTAAATAGAGGCAATACATTGCTGCCTGCATGATAATGGCAATGACTAATACAAGTGAAGATCAGCTAATGGCCAAAAAAAGAAGAAGAAGAAGACCCACACGTTAAGGCGTTATGGGCCCCTTCCCCATCCTCTCAGTTCTTTCCCCACCACAATCCTCAACCTTCCCACTCACTCACACACACTGCTCAATTCCAATCCAGGAAAGAGGAAACGACACCAAAAACAATATGATATATGTAAAGATAAATGTGAACATGTATATATATATATATATATATTATTTATTTTCATATGTTTGGTCAATAAAACAAAATTAAGCAAGACAATAAGAAACGGCTAGAATCACATGGCAACAATCACGGTATTTTTCATGACAAAATAATAATACTCCCCTTCAAAACATGTAACCATAACCATAAATTAAAATTAAAACGGTAATGGGTGTATTAATTAATAATTAACTTACTATCTTCTTGCTCATCAAAATCGAGGCTAAACTCCCTGTCGCGCGTACAGCATGCCAGTCTTTTCCTCATCGTCAGCATGTTCCTTTCGTCTTTTACTCTGTTTCATCAAAAGATTTAACCCCCGCGGCCGCCCCACATAATATCATCATCCCCTCTTTTTTCTTGATGACCATAAAGAGAAAAAAAACATGGTTTTGTTAAAGAGAAAAGGGGCGGAGAATTGGAACCAAAAGAACCAACCAGCAAGCAAACAAAGCTTCATTATGTGTAAACGACAGAGAGATAGATCATAGATGCATTTCTTAAACAGAAACAATGTTCAAAACATCTCAGAATAGTTTCTCAAACCCAGACGTTAAAATGAAAAAAAAACTAGAGAAACTGTATTTGGAGAACAAACCTGGTGGACTGCTAATGCAAGGGCTAAGGGAGTGAAGTTGAAAAGCGATCAAAGCTGCATCTGTGGATCATGGAAGGGAAAAGGGAAAATCTAGAAAGAAAGGGAGAGAAGCTGCGATATTCAAAAGCGGCGCAAGATGGAATTGAGATTCGAATTGCGAGCCATTGAGTGTTATTTAGCGTTAGGCTGCTGCTTACTGAACTGAAAAGATGGAGCTTTATATTCCCAGTCATACGGGTTAGAGGGAGGATGCGGCGAACTTATTATTTACTACTTCACCAAATATATAAAATGAAAAAGTCGTCCATTTAAAGATCGTTATTTTTCTATTCAAAAAAATATTTAATATATTATTACTAAAAAATAATTTAATTAAAATAAAAATAATATTATGTGTTATGTTGATTTATTTTTAATTTCAAATTTTTTATTATAATATTAATATTTTGTGTAAAATTGTTTTTATTAATGATATTTTAAATAATGACCATTCTATGTAAATGTTAAAATTAATAAAAGATGAATATCTAACTCAGTTGGTAGAGTACAAGGTTCTTAACCTTGAGGTCGTGGGATCGAGTCCCACGGAGGGCATTTCATAATTTGAATGTTTTCTACGGAAGTTGCTCTCAACCTGGTGTTGGAGGCAACCTACTATCTTACCTCCTCTTACCTCATTACATATGAGAACAAGGGATAACCATTATTTAGTGATGGGTCGAATGAGTGTTTAGATTGGTCGTATTTTTAAAAAAAATATTTTTTTATATTTTTATAATAATTTAATTTTAATTTATACTCTCTAAAATTTTAATATATTTTCTTGAAGACTCATATCTAAATATAAAATATTATATTCGTATGTGAGAATATCCAAACATGTGTAGGAATCAAGTGTAGCCTTCTACATATATTATATGCTCATTATTTAAAAAAAATATTAAATTTAGTTTAATATATTTATGAAAAGATTAAAAAATTTAAAACTACGTATTAAAATTTTGGATTTTTTTTTTGAATTTGTCGATGATGCTATTATTTCGTAGCATCAATTCAATTATAATGAAAATGAAGATTCATTGGGGTTTTCCCACTTGAATTTTAAAATTTGAAAAATGGAGAATTAATCATGCTAACTCTTCTTACCCACCAGGTAAGTAGGTGGGGATGGCATATTGCCATTGATAAACATGGAAGCAAGTTTTTCATTAAGTGCACGTCAAGGTTACAAACTCCAAAAACACCATCTCTAATGCAGTTGGTCGTAAAATTCAAGCTGATGCTACTATTTACAATGAATAACTACTTGTATTAATTGCAGATTAAGGCAGGGAACATTTTATGCTTGCTTAGATCATAATTTTTTATGTTGTAGTCAAAGCATGATGTGGGTATTTGAATTGCGGTGCAATGGGAAAAAGATGTATTAACATCAATCAAAATCAATGGACCAATCTTTCAAAAAAAAAATTGAAATTTGTTAACGGTGGCCAAAAATGGTGCCGGAAGAGAGGGACACTGTCTTTTGTCTTGTCCGAGATGGATTCATCATCATTGCAAAATGCAATCGTCAAACTATTCTAGGTTACCAAGAGGGGTGGAGCCATTGGGATAATATCTCTTAAAATTCTTAAATATTTTAGTTATTTTTTAAACTTTTATTAAAATTCTATTTTCATTATTTAAAATTTTATAAGTTTATTATCTTTAAAATTTTATAAATTAATTTGATAATAAAATAATATGTAAAAGATATTATTATCCTTGGGTACCTAAGAATCATGGCTAACACCTACAACAAAGTGGCAACTGGCAAGGCAACATAAACCAAAGAACCCCGTCATGAGGGCACTATCCATTAGGTCCCCTATCTTATTCCCATCTTTTTTACTTTGGCTAAACTATACATTTAGTATTCTAATTATCATTTTTCTATTTTAATCACCTAATTATTTTTGTTTCAAAATCATAACTAATGTTATATTTTTAATTTTATTTTGGTCAACAATTGTTAATAAAATTAACAGTGAAGCTATTAGTCACTATAAGGTAATGACAAGTCATTATTTGAAAAAAATAAATAAAAAAAGATTATGTCAGTAGTTCTGTTAAATTTTTAATAACATGTGATCAAAATAAAACTAAAATATATCGTAAATAGGCTTTTGAAAAAAATAATAGTTGAATAACTAAAATGGAATACAAGTGATAGTTGATGTACTAAACATATAATTTACCCTTTCGGTTTTTTAATCAAAGAGTCAAATTTATCATGTAAAATAATAATAAACGCGGGCCAAACACCCGAGTACAAACAATCCAAAAGCCGAAATAAAGATGGGCCCAACAACAAGAAACTCATAACAAAATCCAAATTAAATAAAAGGGAAACAGAGCCGAAATTGACAAACATGAGTAGGAATGCAACGGGCCGGGTTCGGAGTGGATTTTGCTTGTCCGTCCTCAAAATGAATCCCCATCCCCGACCTGATCCCTGTCAGATTTTTTATCGGGACTCCCCGTCGGAAATTTTATTTGCCCCTCCCCGAACCCGACCAGAAATATTATACTCAAACCCAAACCCAAAAATATTATATATATAATTAATATAAAAATATAAAATATTATACATATATATAATCGGGACGGGGCGGGGATACTTGCCTCATCCCCGACCCAAAAAAATCCTCGATATCCAACCCGATATTATTTAAATCCGATCTAACCCGAACTTAACCGAATTTCAGGTTTTTCCATCGAATTCGGGTCATTATACCATCCTAAACATGAGCCTATAGACACCAAAAAGTTGTCACGCCTTACGTAGTTCAAGAGACTTGGTGATCTGAATCTAAAGAGCTCTTAGATCAGAGATGGTTTGAAAATGCAAAAAAAGGAACGAGAAGGGGGAAGAGGGAAAGAGGGACTCGAACAACGTCCGATACTGTTCAGCCCGTCATAAGAGATATTTATTTTTCCGATAAAATTTCCCAACTATTTATTTGTGTCCAAATTCTAAATTTTTCAATCCAATTATATTTCATTATTCAGTAAAAAATATACTCACTTTTTAATATAAATCATAAAGAATATTATTGTCAGGTTCCACTTTTATCTTTAAAAACTAAACAAATTAATGGATTTGTAAAAAATTTAGTGTAAATAACTAAAATAATAAATATAAACTTGATTTAAAAATCGAATCGCTTTACAATCACTTATGTTTTATTTGAGATGATTACAAGATTAGTCACTAAGATCATTCAACGAATTCACTTATGTTTTTTTTACTAACGTAAATTTCCACCAAAATTTTTAATACCGACTCAATTAAATCACTAAGCTTTTGGTTAACTCAATATAAACAGTTTAAACACAAAGATATTCAATCTGTCAAACGTGTGATTTAGTCTGGCAGGAAACCTAAAGTAAAGATAATGCTAAGCTTTTGCACAACTATGTATCCATTAGTAATCGCCAAAGATGTTCTCACTTGCTGCAAAGAAGAGTGCAAACAAGAAATTTGTTGCCGAGAGGAATCAAACAAGCAGCACTTCAATTAGAAAGACAAAAGTTAGTCCTCAATGAATATGAATGCTTCACCAGTAAGCTTGAACTCTAAGTATGCAACTTCCGAAGTAAATAAAATTTCAATGATACTATAAACATGGAACAAAACAGCAGCGGAGAGAGGAATAGAACACAATCTATCAATTTCAGATGCTGGTAGAGAAGTGAGAATGCAAATATGACAAATTTCGGTTTGTCGGAATTCTTCATTTCTTGAAGCTCCCCAAATTTTATAGTAAGAACAATGAGGCTGGAAATATTTTACAGCTTATTTATACTATAGTTAGAGATAATGTTTTGATCCTAACCTTGGTTATAACTTAGATTCCTCATTCTGTTTATCTATATGTCTAATAAAATAACATAATCTAAAGATTCAGAAGCAAATCAATAGGAATAATGATAAAAAAGAAGACAACTACAGAAAACAAGCAACAAAGACTAAATCCAAGCTGAGATCTGATATTATAAGCCGAAAAAAGAGAGAGGAATAGGCAAGATCCACGCAACCTCACCGCGGTCTCCGATTCAGTTGATGCAAGGCGGGATCCGAATCGTGCTTCCTCCAATCGCTGCCCTTCATCTGGCTTAAAATTCAAAATCAAATCTAATCCAATATTAAGGAACAGCCAATCAGTTCCCGACCTGCACCAAGCGAATTAGAGACCGCCGGTAACTGAAATCAATCTTCAGCTCCTTCTCCCATTTACCGAAATGGTTGGTTTCGGGAAAATGGCATTTCCATGCCAGCTATAACTATTACCATTTCTATAACCCTATCACCGAGCTTGATTTTGCCATATTTGCCCGTTATTTATAATCGCAACAGACCAGTTTCTTCTCTCCACGTGTCCCAAAAGGACTCCTGTTCTTTCCGTGAGCAGACCAAACGAAAAGTCTCACCGTCTCCACTGTTAACTGAAAGCACAAGGCATGTGATTTTTAAGATTTTTCTCTTTTAAATATAATACCTTCCTGTTTCAAAAGCTTTCAAATTTCGTGAATCATTTGTTTAATGCTTTGAAGCTGATATTTATGGAACACCAGCGGTGATTATTCAATTATTTTCACTTTTAATATTTGGATTTTTGTCACAATATCATCATAAAAAGTAATCTCCAATCCAACACTTATTTTATTAATTATTAAAATAGTATTTTAATCATCACTTCGACACATGTAAAAAAATATTATGATATTTTATTTTATAATGTTTTTAAATCGATCATTTATTATATATCATAAAGATCAATATCGTTTAAAACTAAAAAGAAGTGTCACAATAGATTTTCAACTCTATAAACCGATTGATGAAAAGGAAACTGAAATAATTTATTTCTATATCATAGGGAAGAAAAATGATCACCTCTTACATTTTCTTTCCTCCAATTTTTTTCTACCAAATACACTTAGGCCTATAAACGAATCGAACGTTCAGCGAATTGTTTGACGGGAAGTTCGTTTATATTCGTTTATTTATTAAACGAACGAACATTAATAAGATTTTGTGTTCGTTTAATTAAATGAACGAATATAAACAGATGGTTCGTTTTATTCATTTACGTTTGTAAACGTTTAGTAATATGTTCGTTTATGTGCGTTCATTTATGTTTACCCCAATCTCTCTAAACCCATTTAAAATATTCAAGTTCAATAAATTTCAATCTGATATGCATAAAAATTTTAAAAATCAATTAATTTTAAATACTAAAAAAGCTCAAAACAATTACATAAAAATATAATCCTAAAATTGTTAGGAAAAAAAATCTATTTTCAATTATGTTCATTTATTGTGTTCGTTTACGTTCGTTCATTTGTGTTCATTAACGTTCGTTTATTGTGTTCATTTATGTTCGTTTACATCCGTTCGTTTATGTTCGTTCTTTTGTGCTCGTTTATTATTTAAATGAACTAATATAAACGAACACGAACAAACTAAATTCTTAACGAATGAAAATGAACAAGAATTTTTTTTATTCGTTTATGTTCTGTTAAAGTTAAATGAACGAACATTAACATACCCTGTTTGTATTCATTCAGTTCGTTTATAGGACTATACACTCAGTCTTTTATGTTTTTCATCCAATCATACAAAACCTAAGTTTCTTTATCTTTTTATTAGAAAATATTTTTCCACACTAATTTTTATTATATTTTACTTTTAACAGTTAATGTAACAATTTTAAATTTTAGTCATCATAATTTGATTTTTATGACATCGAATAAGTTATTGTTTTATGTTCGAAAATCTCGACTTCTTATTCAATTTCATTGTTAATCGTTGATATGATGATTATAAAAAAGTAAAAGAAAAGTATTTTTACTTTTATATATTTATATTTTTTATTAATTTATCCCTTAATATTTAAAAATATAAAAATTATCTTTGATTGAACAATATACCTTTTAATCATTTAAATTTTATTATTTTTAAGAATTGAATTGATAAAAACTGTAAACATAAAAATGGTTGTCTTCCCTAATAGGGTAAGGGGAGGTAAGATGATAGGTTGCCCTAACACCAAGTTGAGAGCAACTTCTGTAGAAGACCTCCGAATTATGAAATACCCTCCGTGGGACTCGATCCCACGACCCAAGATTAAGAACTTGTGCTCTACCAACTGAGCTAGATAGTCATCTTTTTATAACTATTAAGTTAATGGTTAAAGATAAGATTGAATAAAAGTAAGTGGAAACAACAATATCTTTAAATTAAAATAATGAAGAGATTTTATAAAAGAAAATAGAGATTAAAATTTAAATCTTTAAATAATATGCAGACCTTTGGTAGACTTAAATTTGTTTATTTAATTAAAATACATGTATTTTTGCTGAGACATAATTAACATTTAGCTTATGAAATGAGTGTTTAATTAAAAACGCTTTTAAAATAATGAATGTTTTTTTATTATAATAAATAATTAAAGGTAAATGTTATTTTAATAATTAATTTAAAAATATATATAAATAAAAAATATTAAATTAAAAAATTATTAAACAATATCATCTTTTAGATAATCAAGTGAGATTACTCACTTCTATTTATTTATTTTATTTCACAGTTACTCATTTTCTTCGTTATATTTCTTTTAAATGATAATATTCATTAATTTTATCGAAAAGAGAATACATATAGCAAAATTATATAAAAAAAGTCGGCATAATTCGAGTAGATTAAATGAAATTAATTATCATTTCTCTTATATCAATAGAGTACAAATCACAAATAAACCATTAAATAATAAAATATGATCATATAAGAAAAATTAAAATTTACCCAAACAACTCAAAAATTAATATATACAAATAAATATCGTAGTCGAAGTAAAAGATTAATACAATCCATGGTTTTCAGAACCGGACTGGTTAGCTAACAGACCGTGCTACCGGTTCACTAGTTCAATCGATCGAACCGGATAGATCGATCGGAAGAACCGGATGACGTCATAATTAATTAATTATTTAAAAAATTAAATAAAAATATAAAAAAACATTTAATAAAAAATAATTGTTTATATCACAAGTCATATTCAAAGCAAGTTATAACATATATAAGTTAAAAACCATAAAATCAAGTAAAACAAAATAATTCAAATCAACAACAACATAACTTTTAAGGTAAAACATATTAAATAATAAATATAATTATATAATTATAATCAAAAAATAAATTTGGGGCTAAAAAATAATAACAAACGATGTCGTTTGGTTTATTTTTTTTTTTAAATCTCACATGGCTAAGAAACATAGAAGAGCATCGTAACTAACTTCTATAAATAATAGAGGTAATTTGACATTCAAAATCATAGAGCTTTTTGGTGAGCACAGAGCGAACTATTCTTTCGCTTCAATCGAGCATCTATTTTTTTTTTGAGTTCGAGCCTTTTTGAGTTCAAGTTTCAATATTATATTTTAAGTTCAAGTTGAACTTGATAATTTTTAGCTCGTTTGACAAACGACGTTGTTTGATTTAATTTTTTAGAAAAAAAACAGAATCGGGTTCAACCGGTTCACGGTCTGGTCCGGTTTAACGGTTCACAGCCGATCAACGATTCCTTCCGGTTCACTAATAACGATTTAACCGATGTAGAATGAACCGGACCAGACAACGATTCCCGGTTGAACCGACCGGTCCGGTCCGATTTTCAAAACAATATACAATAACATATATATATATATATAACAATGACCATATAGATAAATTAATTTTGTTATAACTCAATTGCTTGCGTCCTAACTTTAATAATTGTATAAATATCTATTAATAAAAGAAAATAAAAGAAATAATATGCTATGAGAATAAATAAAATATTCATTATTTTTATACGGAAAATATAACAATTAAATAAAATAATGTAATTTAATTTAATTGTTCGATTTTTATTTTTAGCGGTGTTTAAATGTGGAATTCCTTTTTCTTTCCTTTGTCTACATCGGCAGTTGCAGTGTCCATGCATCAGAAATTACTCAAGTCAAAAAGGAGAAAATTAATCAACAATTTCACCTGCTGCTGGACCCACCTATTGACGTCAAATCTAAAATAACAAGGTTTTATATATTAATTTGGAAAATTTGAAGCAAATCAAATAGGTATGGGTTAGTGTATAAGCGACGGTGTTGATTTCTATTCGGGTAAAGACTACTTTTATTTTAGGGTGCAAAGCAAGCAAACTCCGGGCTTCTTTCAAACGGAGGTAACTCCGGGCTTCTTTCAAATGGAGGTAAAGAGAGGGTTGATCACTACTTGTGGTGGACGTTTCCAACAGATCTTTTCGGGTACGTTAGCTGTCGTTCTACGGGCGCTAGCAGATTGGAAGTCAGAGAGGAGTAGCATGGCATTATCGTGGACCATTTTGGACGTCTGCAAGGTGTTGTTATGCTTCAACTTATTTCTTCAATTCAATATATTCCAAAGCAAAACAAGCAGTAGAGCAAAGTGCTCTCCATCAAGAAAATCGAGAATATGATTGAGCTAATCTTTGCAAGTAAGAAGAAATTAGTTAAAGATTCTATTATTGCATGGAGTAAAGGAGAGGACTTCTCAGGTAAGACCTAAGAGGACAGTCATGGAGTGCGTGGTCATTTGCACAGTCACCAACTGATAGAACCTAACTGATTCATGAGGCTTGAAGTAGGTAAGATCTTCATCGACCGCCGGCTCACATATGACATATCCTTGTGCTTAGAAATTTGAGACTAACTTGAATAATTTAAAATTTTTAAAAATAATATCCTGCTTATAATTAAAAATAATAAGTAATTTAGACCTAACAATTCTAACCATATAATTAATAAATTTTAATCATACGATCCTTTTTTCTCAAAAATTAAATTCAAATGAAATTAAGTTAAATTTCATAAAAAATAAGATGGAGCAGATCGAGTTTAAATTTATTATAAAAATCTTTAGTATGCTTTTAAGAATTTTCTTATATACATTTATGAAAATTATGAAAATACTTTTATTTGATCAAATAATTTTTTTTTTAATATTTATGTTAAAAATCAAAACTAAAATAATGTTAAATTAATGAAGCACTAACATCAACTGAATGGACAAAAGCATAGATAAATAAAAATGCAAATGGAAGTCCCTTTGATCCCATGTCCATCAAATTCCGAAAGCAAATAGCCATAAACATGGCCTTTTTAATTATATTTTTATATGACAAACGGCTACAATTTCCAATACTGTCGTTTATAATGCCATATATTTCCCTCACATATTTGATAAAATGCTGGAGAAAATGGATAACCAAGCGCGAAAAAGAAACTAAACTAGCTTAGTGTTGCATTAATGAAAAAAACTATCCCCCTTTATACACCTCTGCCCTGTGACCCTGTCCATCCTACAAGTTTACATGGTAATAGGAACTCGTTGATTTGAGGTCAAATTTGAAACAGGAAGCAGAAACAAGCGAGAAAATATGAAAAACCTTTACCTTACAAGCTATGGAGAGAACACTTGTGCAGGTATCCTAATGGAACTCCATGGGACAAATGCTAGTTGAAGGAGATACCAAGCCAGCTCGCTACTCGGTTCACGAGGCTCAAGGTCACTGTTGCCAGCAATCGGGTAACCTTGGGCAGCGCTGGATAACTTAGTGTCCCCACTACGAACCAATTGAAACTCAAGAGAGCAACTGCATCAGATGCAGGTTTGTTCTTTATAGTGAAGAAAAACTGAACAACACTTTTAAGTGACATGCCCACAACAGTGAAGAGAGCCACCACAAGAGGCATGCAAGGATCTTCGGCTTCCCACACAATCATTCCAACCAAAAGTGACAGAATTGCACTGAAAAGAGTTTGCGAAAGTGCAATGTCTCTTCGTTCTTCGATAACAGTGTTGACATCCGGATTTTGGACACTGGGTGTAAATAGTTCTACGGACCCACTTGGTGCAGGGGCAGCTTTTAATAAATTGAACGTTCCGAAATTACTCTTGCTCTTACCTTCCCATGCTTCTCTGTTCATCATCAGCTCTTGTAAGGAGATCCACTACTTCCCATATAACTGGGAATCAATGAGGCAACACTGTAGGGAAGACATGATTATCAACGGTATTTAGGCTTTTGTTTTTATTTGTCGCATCATGATCTCTATAACTCCATGCTGCTTTATCTTGAACTTCTTTCAGCCGAAGGTTTTCGTCCTTTAAATCCTGCAACTGGTTGGGCGCACAATACTTTCAGCATGCAATGCAGAAAGTTCTACACAGATTACGGTCTTCCCGACCGCACGTTAATAAATGATCAATGGTACATACCCCAGCATGATACATTCAATCGTACCAGTCAAACTTAGAGACAGTTTAAGATATTTACCTCGCCCTCTAATAGTTCAATCCTGGCAACAGCCTTGTTATGTTCCCCTTCGAGTTCAATTAACACCGACTCCATAATTCTGCTTTCTCTGGCAGCTGCTTGGAGATGTTCCTCAAGATCCTTCCTGTCCCAAACAAGAGTCTCGAACTCAAATTGCATCTCTTGTAGATGTTGTTCCAGCTGCAAACAAGACCATGCTTCTTATATCAAATTACAAACAACGCCGCCTTAATATCAATAATCTGCAGGCATGAATTAGGAAAACCACAGTATGTGTTTCTCAGCTAACGTATACTGAAACTAACCAGCTTTTCCCTCTGCAAGGCAGTCAACATTCTGTAAGGAAGAGATACAAGTGCAACTGTCCAAAGTACTGATTTCCAGAACATGTTCCCAGGGAAGGAAATTGCTGCCTTTACCATCTGCAACCAGGTTTTAACAGAAATAAAGATCGTCTCGAAACATACCGATTTGCTAAGAGAAAATGGAATGGTTACCGCATTGTTATGCTACCTTGGGAAACATCATTATCAACCCAGCCATTATTAATCAAGGGAGCTTCTTCTTAATAATCACACTCCGCCTACTCATAACCATATTTAAAGATTCAGCTTGCGATACACTGCACAACATAAACCCCATAATCCTTTTCTAAAGGCACCATAAATTTAAACAAATTGCAGCAAAGAAACAGCTTCACTAAATGGAGTGGAATAATCATGAATATAAAAACTAATCTTTTTGAGAAGAAAGATAACAAACGTTATTCCTAAGATCACTCGGCATATGATGCACCATTGATGGACCTCATATACGACAGAAAAGCCACATCCAGATAACATAAATTACCAGGAGATCAAAAACATATGTGCCATACATAAGTTAATTGTTGAATTAAAATCCTTAATTGTGAGCACATATGTATAATGTACAATATTATCATAAAGCATGACACAAAATTAAGTGATCAATTATGTATTTATAATTTGACGAGAGAAAAAAATGATAAATACTTAATAGATTAGTCCAATTATTAATTCTAAATACCTGTATTTATTTTTATCTGGGAGAGTTTTTACGACAAGAGAAAACGATTTAATGATTTCAACATTTCAATTAATTCAGTTACCCTTAGTTCCATTTTTTTTTGGACAAATTATAAATCTAATTCTAATCTTAGTTGGAGGAGAGGGAAAAGATAGACTTTAGAGAAAGGAAGGGAAGTGCTATTGGTGAGTCTATAATCTATTATTGGACAACTGTACAAGAAGAAGACAATCAGAACAAATCAAATTAAAACAAATGAGAGTATGACATTCAGAAAACAAAAAGGAAAAAAGGGGAATAATCAGTTCATCGATTAATTACGAAAACAAAAAAGGATATTGACAGTAAATGATATCATTACGATGTAAAAAATTTATCACAAAAATTAAACTTGAGCGAAAATTGATCTCAATGAACGACAGTAGGGATGAAGAAAACAAGCAGAAGCGGCGCATTAATTAAACCCTTGATTACTACACAGACGAACAACGGAAGCAAAGGCAGAGGCAAAGCATTTCACCAAGTACAATATATATGTATGTGTGTGTGTATATATATATATATATATATATAGAGAGAGAGAGAGAGAGAGAGAGAGAGAGAGGTTGGAATATTGGGAAAGTGCTTACAGTTACAGTAGAGAGAAAGCAATGGAGAGAGCGGTAGAAGATTTCAAATCAACTTACAGAGAGTGCGGTTGAATGAGAGGGGAGGCTGTTATGAAGGGGGAGAAAGGTGGCACCTAGAGCGCGCCCTGGCTGACACGTATGCAAGTTTACATGCAATTTATATTTATTTTATTTATGGAAAAGCTTATCTTATGGTGATTTGTTAGAACTGTGATGTGCCTGTATATAGCTGAATATCCAATTCCTAGTTTCAGTACTGACACCGCCCACCGCCGTTGTTATAGCCTTCACTTCACTTTTGACTTTTTTTTGTTTCACTGCCATTGCGTTTAATTTGCTTAATAATTGGATCTTTCTGTTTGTTATGGGTCGGGTAATGGACTGGGCATTGGGTTCTGAGTACAGTGTAATCGGGTCGTTAAGTTCCAATAATAGATTTAGTTGAATCCTATACTATTTTATCTTGATCCCTCGATTGGATTGGATAACAATGATAATAGTGTTAATATTTTAGTGTTAATTCAGTTAATACTAAAAAATGGAAAGCATATTGTAGCTTTCTCTTTAAGAAGAGTGGGAATAATAGTAGTTTATGTTGTTCAAATTCTTTATTTATTATTGAATACATGTATCAAATGTTCGTTTGTTAGTCTAAAGCGATTACAAGATAATATCTATTCAAAATACCCTAAATCATTTTGACACTGAATGTTTAAACACTTACAGACGTCATGCTCGAACTTGATACCTCTAAATGTAACAACCATCCTTTTAAACGGTGTTTTCATTATCTCTACATCTCACATCACAATGTGCAATAATACTGTAATAGCATACAAGATTTCAAGATTGATCATGTCTTTTGACCCAACATTAACCATCTTAAGCTTAAACATATTAATAATGATGAAGAACAAAAAGGCAGGTGGGGTGGGGTGGGGAGAGAAGAGGTTTATCTGCTTTTGCCTGCTTTTTGCGCATATAGAAAGCAGGTCATACAAAAGAAATATCTAATAATTACATGGATATGAATATAAAGAGAAAAGAAAACATCACTTGGCCTTGGAACTACAGCGTGAGGGAATGTAGGTGCCATTCAAAGGATGGAAATGCAACTGACAACGGAGACCACACAAGAACCTAACGGAACCCAGATGGCCTATTCTCCATCTCACCCTGCTGCCCCCTTTCAAATCGAATACAATCAGATCTTTCTTCAAACCCGCGTCCACATATTCTGCTTGTTCCGGATTCAAAGGTATGGGTGATGATGGCACTACGTAGTTAAAATCAACCGAACTGTTCTTACCTACTTCAAAGGGTGGTGCTACCAGCCGCGCTACCACTTCCCCGTTCAAACCTAGGCTGTAACTTGAATCCGAGAAGCTCGTGTGCGCCTTCCCGTTCCCGTTCTTAGCTCGGATTAATATCGTTACCTGAATCTCCAGAATACCGGCATAATCGAGCTGCATACGGTCTAGGTGAGCGTCCACGACGCTAACGTAAGGCACCCTGGGATGTATGACTAAGTATCCTATGAAGGTGACAATGCCCGCGATGATCACGGCTATGGTCAGGATAGTGCAGATGATGGCGGCACACCACACTAATGGGTTCGTCGATCGTTCCCGACTCGTTGAGAACTTCGATTTCGGGTTCATTGGGTTAGGAGAGGCTCATCAATCGATGTCAACATTAGGAGGATATTTTGTTTTACTCTAGGTTTTTGGACAAGGCTTTATGTAGTGCACTAGGGAGGTGAAGCTCTGTTTCAGGCTTGCCGAGATAGGTAAGGTATAAATTAGCTCCAATTGGCAGGGAAGTATCTTCTTTTCCTGCATTTAAAGCATTTTCCATACAAAATAAACTCTTATAGTATTAGCCACTCTATTAAGTAATCTAAGGACACTTTTATCTGTGTAAACCAAAAACACATAGCTTTAGCTTGCAGTGCCATTTGTTTTCAATAAAGCAAGCAAGCATACTAACTGATTCTCATCACTAGTTATATAATTATTTTGAAAGGCTGTAGGTTGTCTGAAGGCTGTAGCTGCACACTTACACGGCCTGCCCAAGGACAGAGAGAGATAGAGGTACACACTAAACAACATAACACAACCATGTGATATGTGATTTGACCACCGATATTTATCTATTAGTTGATATCGTAGAAGTTTATTATGGGACGACCTTTCAAATTAAATTTTCTTTATTTATAATATCATAATTCGAAACTTAGAGAATCAGTCTATTACTATTTTTTTCATTATCTTTAATTAATCATTATCATACATACGTGCATGCCTCACTAATAGATTTTAAAATCATGTACATAAATAATGATGGATGATGATTTAAGTTTGTGTTGAACAATAATGGAGGGAAGCTTGACCCGAGGAGTAGACTTAATCAAGAATTAGGCTACATGTCCAAGCCCAAAGTTTGTAGAATTTGAAAAAAGAATATTCGGCTTGAAAGTGGGCATAAACAGAAAGATCAGGTCCATTTAAATATAGGTCGAGATCAAAATCTATCATTTAAGGCACAGTTTAACTTGACTTGTTTTTTGAAAGTTTATTTAACATATTGTATTGTTTTATTTTTTATATTATATAGTTTAGATAACATATATATTATATTTATAGTAATACATAATATATATGTTATCTAAAAAATTTAAGAGCTTTTCATGTAGTTCTTGTAGCATCTCTTTTTTCTTATATGTATTTTTCTAAAAATTTCTTTTATGGAGGAAAAAGGGGTGGAGGTTTATATTGCAAGGATACAGATATCGGGACGAGGACGAGAAACAATAACTTTTAAAATTATAGAGTACAAGTACGATAAATATAAAATATAATTTTAAAAATCTAAAAACAATATTAAAATTTATAATAAATTAAAAATAAAATTCATAAAAAAACCCATAATATTAAAGTGTCAAATCTCATATAATAAACTAAGTCTAGAACAACACTAAATAATAGAAATCAATAATTGTTAACATCATTTGAGATCAACTCGCTTTCTAAGTCGAACTCATCAAGTGAGAGTTCCATAAATTCTAAACATCTCGCACCTTTCAAAGAATCAAATATATCTCCACAACATCTCGTATCTTAGTTTTCTCATCCTCATATTGACTATAATTCATTGATAAAAGACAAAGGTGTAGCCGATGTAAACCAAATCTTCAACACGACTTGGATTTAACTTATATATCGTAAGTGAGTGGATGAAGGAATACATACTCCGATTTCTTCCACAACAAAAAGATAAAGTAGGTTGTTATAAGATTTTGAAAATACTTTATTATCTCTTGAGATATTTCACCATCTTTATGAGGAGTAACTCTATTAGGATCCTTAATTAGCCAATCTTCACTTTAAAATGTTCGACATATTAAAAAAATTTTATATATATATATGAATAAACTAAGATTTAAGAATATAAAATTCATAAAAATAAGATTATATATCTTAAATTTAGTGAGTGAGCCAAACGATAAAGAGGAGTATAACAACATGGTAAAAAAGATTTAAGTTTGAAAGGGAACAATTTTTAAATTTTATTTTTTCAGTCATGGAATCTTGCACCTCGTGTACCAGATAATTCTGTGAAAGAGAAGATTGTGAGTGATGCTTTCATATGCTTTAAGCATATTATAAATAAGCCTTATGAAATCAATAAGGTAAGCCACTCGATCCACCATGCATCACTCACAATCTTTTCTTTCACATAGTTTGACTTCCTCATATCATCCTTTATATAGGAAGCACATTTATCATTTACGATCATTTCTTGAAGTCCTCGTTTAATGAGCTTAAACCTTTTAAGCATCATAATAATCGAGGCAAAATGAGTATCGACAACTACAAGGTGGAAATGAAATCTATCAATGAATATCATGTACCAACAAGCTTATCTACAGTCTCGATAAGGTGTAAGGAGTTTAAGGAGTCTCACTCAAATAACCCACTTAAATTATATATCTATAGTTGCCTACCCACGTTGCCAAAACAAACATTGGCACTCATATCTCTCTGATTTAACATGCATCTCTCGTTGCTATAGGCGCTATCAAACCTCACTCAGTCACCCGTCGAACCTAGTAAGTTCTGCAATTTATATTTTATAGCAAATGTGTATAAAAAATAAGCTAAAGATAAACTGATGTCGAAACAAGATTTCCATTAACAAAAGTATGAAAGTATTTTAAACAACAAGATAGAAGAATATATTAAGTTGGGAAATGGTTCGATAATCACGTAGGATCACAACGGAAGTATAAATCCCTCTCGGGATCGAATAGATCAATGGTGAATTTAGCTGCAACGTGTCGATACAACAATTGGATCGAAAACATACTCAATTAGGCCCAAACTTAGTCGAATGACTTCAACGCACAAACTAAAATACTTGTCAAGACTTGGGTCAATGCTCGAATATTGACTCGAAAATTTGGATCGTTACACAAAATGTACCCGACCCTTCTCAGAGATGTATCGAGTACGTGGGACGGCCTTGGGCCTTCGTACCCGTACCTCATAGGCGAAAGTCAATATTATGTTTTGTTATGTTCAATTATGTTGGTAAATTACAGTAAACTATAGTAAAATTTTATGAATTCTTATTTGATACACGAGTTATGAAAAAATTATTTTATCTAATATATCTATTTTAGTTCGAAATATTAAATCTTAAATTTTAAAATTTACACATTTATATATCACAAGTTTTCCGGTTTTAATTTATACTTTTGATTTATTTCCTCTATTTTTATTGAATTGCTAATGCAAGTAGCAGCAAAGCGAAATTCAATGTTGTAGTTCGAAATAAAGAATGGCTTCTACTTCTCTTTTTCTTTTTTGGGTTGAAAAAAAGGAATCACATTTGTGTTGTAAAGCTGTCGTCCAGAAAATTTAAAGCAAACTTTTTCATTTATATCGACAAGAATATTAAGCATCTGCCAATGGCTCAGGGAATACAGATCCTAGTCCTAGAGTTGTAAAATTAGGGAATTAACTAATTGGTGGTAGGCATGGCATATAATGACAAATCTTGTACTTTTTGACCAGCTATATATATATATATATATATATGTCAATAGACTAAAAATATTCTGAAAAAATAGAGAGTAAAATAACATCATATGAAAATTCATTTATAATATAATAAAAAAATTAAGTTTAATTTAGTTGATATTATTGTTGGTACAATGATATTATTGTTGATACAATACACGATGATATGAGATTGAACATGTTTAGACACTCAATGACCTTCGATTTATGAATATATGTATTAATTTATTCAACAAAACACCAAAATATGAATAAATTATAATTGAATACTCTAAACATATAATTTTATCATTCTAATCAGAGTATGTTTTTCCTCTTTTAAAAAATTATAGTAAAAAATTGTAATTAAATATTAGTAAACATCAAATAATAATAATAATACTTTTGTGATGAAAACAAAATGTATCAAATACTACTAAGGGGTGTTTGGTTCAAGTATTGTGGGATGGGAATCCCACATCCCCATGTTTGGTTGGCCGGGAATCTCATTCCCGGTAATATTTTATTACAATAGTAGATTTTTTGGGGTATATTACCGAGAATGTCATTACCTCCCTTCCCTTAGGTATTGTAACATTACCGGCGTTTTGGACTAAAATACCCTTAAATTTTTATTTTTTTCAAAAATATCATTCTTCTGTCATTGAATAATAAAAATTCTACGAAAGTTAAATTACAAATTTATCCTTAAATTATTTTAAATTTACAAAAAAAATCTATAATTAAAATTTTATATGAAGTTCAGGGGTTAAATTTTTTTACCCTTTCATTAAACCTTTTTTATATTTTTAATTTTGTAAAAAATTATATAAATATTATGAATTTAATTTTTTAAAGAAAATATATAAATATTTTACAATTTGTAATATTATACAAATATATAATAAGGACAAATTGGTCAAATATACATTCCAATAATCTTTTATTCCTTTAACCAAACACGGTAATCTTACATTCCTGCTAAACCAACCAAACACAAAATACAACATTCCCAGTAATCCTATTCCGTGGTAATCTTTTATTCCCACTGGTAATCTTACATTCCGTGAACCAAATGCACCCTAAGAGTCTAAGAAAATATTTTTTAGTAATTATTTAACCGTGGCAATGAAAATACTTATTAATACATTTTTATTTTATTTATAATGTTAAATCTTATTTTTAATAAGTATATAATTAAAATAATTATTACATGGGAATTAATAATAAATAATTGGATTTTTTCATTATTTATTTATCTAATTATAATCAATGATTTATAGATATAAAAAATTTATTAATTAATATTATATATTTATACGAAGATAGCTTTTCAACGTCATCTTTTAATAGAACTTTTAAATATAGTATGGTTTAATTAATTTATCATTATATATTATTAGTTAGTATTACTTTTAATATTATCACATAATAATAATTAGTAATAGTAATAAATTATTTTAATGCATCATATTGTCAAATATTCTCTTCTTTTTTCTTTTATTTTTTTATCATTTCTATTATAGAAAGAATTGGAAGCTTCCTTGTTCAATTTTAGGACTTTGAATTAGTTTACCTAGATTCTTCCCTTACAAGTGACACTTCTAAAAATCCTATCAACGTCAAAAGATGGAAGCCTGGGTGGGTTTTCCTGGTCAACTAAAGTGACACTTACACTTGTACTAAATACGATTTAACCCAAAATCATTTTATTAAAACTTTAGTTAAGAAAATTTTAAATATATATTACCGTATAATCACTATTCAA